ACACACACACACACACACACACAGCAAGGCTGAAGGTGATGGGAGACTATTTATAATCCATGACTGCAGGAATGGGACTGCAGCTCAGGACAAATATAGGACATAAACTACTGAGCATAACAGACACAACATGTACAGTTTAAATGATTGTCAGTCACCATAAGCCTAAATTATAGACTTTTTAAAAGTTAAAAGCATGGCTTATTGCACTATATGTTACCTTCCCTGCAAGAGTTAATTCAATTCATAGTTAAGTCATAGTTGACTTCAAGGTAAATCATTAAACCAGAAATAATACATTTACAGATATGACAGAAATAACAACTCTCATATTGAAAGAAGCCACATTTCGACTTGTTTTCTTAAGCCAACCGTGCCACTAGATACACTCACCCACACAATAATCTATTAGCTGCAGCAGTGACTCATTATCAGAGTTCTTCCTCGGTAATCAAATCGAAATGAGCAGGTAACTGGCTGTTAAGGACACATAAATACATAAACTGTATTCTGTTCTCACTGACACTCTTAGCTATTGAAGGAAAGAAAGTTGTGCTTTGTTCCGCATCGCTGTACTGTATGAAAGGTAAGAACACAGAATTGGTGGGGGATGCATTGTTTTCCTAGCTGTTGTTATTGATGTTTACTGCAGGACAGATGCTGTGTTAGACTAGATTTGTGAATCTTGGCGTGCCATCTAAAATCTCATACTAGTGTGGCAATATCCTGGTTTGTTTGGTTCAGTGTAAGGGCTCCTCTTAACAGCATTATATCAGAATCTGAATATAAAGGGGCCTCACAGAGATGTAAACAGAGGAGGGATGCTGCTTTGTTGAGGAGAGAAAGCCAGAAAACCATTCATCTCTAATTATTTTCCCATCTCTGATCTGCACTGTCCCTGCGAACACTAATCAATGATTCATGCCCTCACTCTCTGGCCTTTTGCAGAAATACAGCACACAGACAGGCTAACACGTGTGTATACATACTGTAATTATGATTATTTTATAAAGGCACACAAAATGAGCAGGAATGAAACTAAAATCAGTATCTGACAAACACACCTTAACAGTGAAACTACATGATTTCATTACCTAGCAGAGACAGAACACCCACCCACACATAGCAAATATCAAAGCCATTTGTCTTGATTAAAAATAAAACATGCATCTAATTATTGTAGCTAATGTGCTGCAGGCTAATGCAAGTCTATCAGTCATGAGGAAAGGCACTGTGGCCATTACACAGGAGACATTTTAAACCAATCAGCTGCAGCAGAAATAGAAACAATGGTAATGAGTGAGTCTGGTGTACAACGTCAGCACACTGTTTACAATATGCTGAGAAAGAGAAAAAAATATTGTTTTATGCATGAAACCAAAAAGTCAGTGGTGCTAATTAATGAAAACAACACACATACCATGCAAGCAGCACAATCATTTAAAATAAAAAAATGTTGTACTCACTGATCAATTTTCACAGAAGATGTCCAAAAGCTTCAAAAATATGGGAATTACTTCCCCTACTGTGGTGAAACAAACTAAATGTTAATCCAGTAAATTCTAGTCCACTGTACAGATAGACAGGAATTCGCTGGAGAGGTAACATCGATCACACACAAGGCTGCAGGTGACACTGGGCTGCACTCTGCTCGTAATGATTTGAGGATGAATGTTGCTGTGAGGATTTGGGGCGAGTACTTCAAGTGGCGTATTGTGAGCTCAGGCTGTGACTCTTTGTGGGCTGGTTTCCAAACACAGGGGAAGTGAATGCAGCTCTGATGAAATAAGAAAAACCCAGCGAGACAGGACAGTGGAGCATCGGTCAATGAAACCTTGATAATACAGGGTTCCTTCATTCATTCAGCCTGGCTTCTTGTTCATATTCACTGGTTTCTGTTTGGGTAAGAGGATGGAGGGGTCATTTTTATTTTATATTTTTTCCAATAACTTCTCAGTAGCTAGAAATATATCAATCTTTCCAATCTGACACAAAATCATACTGTGATATTGGAAACATGCAGATTTAGTAAAGTATTTTGGGGGGGAATTAATTTGCCTGGTTCCAGACCAGTGTGGATTCCATTCTGATTATCAAGATAAAGTTTAAGCCTTTATCAACTTTATCTAGCCAGCTGGCTGAAACATAGGTGATCTCACATTCTCCGTGTTAGTTGACTGGTACTTACAAGTCAAAAGAGTGGTCAGGGGAATTAGCTCGGACTGTGGACTACGGTGGTAGAGAGAGCTCTGCAAAGTAAATCAATATATGCAAAAAGAAAAAACATGAATTTCCATGTGTTTTCTTAATTTGCAGTGCATTGAGCTCTCTGCGACCGTAGTGGACAGTATAGTACAGTGCTAGGATTTTTACCTATGATTTCTACAGATGTACCAATGAAAACAGTATGAAGGCAGTAGACAGCCACTGTACTTTGCAGCAGCTTGTTTCTGTGTGTGAGATAAACCTAAGTGCAGGAGGAGTGTAACATTACTCCTGCAGCCGGACTGTGGGTCTATGCTCATGCACTGAGACATGTCAGCAGGACAGCAGGGGAATTAGCTCAAATGGTAGAGCGCTCGCTTAGCATGCGAGAGGTAGCGGGATCGATGCCCGCATTCTCCAGAAGGTTTTTGACCGTAGACACAAATAACATTAGTGCTCAGATTTCTATCTTTAATATTCTCCTGAGAACAGGATGAAGGAAGAGTGTCGTCTTTCATAGCATTAATGATTAAATGTCTCTCTCTCTCTCTCTCTCTCTGTGTTTTCAGACAATATAACGTATGATATCTGCTCTTCCTTGCATTTACATTTTATACAGGGAGAAGACAGCCACTGTCCTTTCATGAACAGTGGGTGGGACATGGGACATAGATGTCTCCTGCAGTGTGATGAATTGTTTTTCAGCCTGCAGCAGCCAGGGGAATTAGCTCAAATGGTAGAGCGCTCGCTTAGCATGCGAGAGGTAGCGGGATCGATGCCCGCATTCTCCAGTAGGTTTTTGACTGCATATATTTATAGTACAATGCTAATAATAAATCTTACACAATCTTGAACCTTTAAGGTTCAGCGTGTAGAATGTAGTGACAGCTAGTGGTGAAGCTGCATGTTGCATCTGGACACACCTCACCTCTCTGTCCTCTTCCAAACATGAAAGAGAACCTGTGGTAGCTTTCAGCTGTCATAAAAACTGAAAAGGTTTAGTCTGTAAAAAACATGGCAGCCTCCGTAGAAAGGACCTGAAGTATTTCAATATACTGTAGGGGGTTCATTCTAGGGTAAAGAAAACCACAATTTGTACAATTTAGATGAAACGCACTACTGAAAACATCACTAGAGTTATTTTACATAAAATCTTTGCCAATAGATCCCTTTCATGTAAAATTTAACACACTGCACCTTTAAACTCTGAGAAGATTTCTGCCTCTGATTCTTACAGGGGAATTAGCTCAAATGGTAGAGCGCTCGCTTAGCATGCGAGAGGTAGCGGGATCGATGCCCGCATTCTCCAATAGACTTTTGACTGTAGACATATATAGTAGAGTGGTTTTCAAGGGTGAGAGGATTTCCACCTATAATTTCTACCAGCATCCAGGAAGAGTGTTGTCTTTCATCACATTAATGAATGAATGAAAGATGACGACATGACAGCTCCCCAGAACTTCAAGAACCATGTCTAAATCGCAGCAGCCTGCAGGCTGGCTGCAGTATACGTCAAAAGTCCTACCTTCTCCATCTTACTGGAACGGACATTAACCAACCCCAAAAAAACCAGTTAAATAACAAATATTCTCAAAGATGGTTTCCTCCATTTTCACAAACCATGTATCTTCGAGTGTTAATTTATCCAGTAAGGTTGGTTCAATATCATAATTGTTGATGATACTGCTATATTGGTGATAATGCATAAATATCCAAGGTATATGACTTACTTCACTTTCTCTGTCGATACTTAATAAAAGAGAAACCTGTTTTCTAACATGAACTGCTGCGAGTTGCTGTAACAACTTGAAATGCAACTTTCATCAGTTAAATAAAACTCATGAAAGGCTTAACAGTAGGGTTAGTAGCAGTCAGCATGAGCCCTGTGGTGGCTGTCGTCATGGGCTTGTGGTGCAGAGGCCATGTGAATGCAGCTCTAGTGAAAACAGTGTCAGTAAAACACAAAGGCAGGTCGCAAAGAAAAGAAATGTCTTCACAGACTTGCATCCCTGACATTGTCTGAGAATTATACAGTATTTTTAAACATCAGCTCTGGTCACCGTGGTTCCCAATTAAGACTGGAGCTTTTCCTCTAAATCCTGTTCAATCCAGAGGGGGCAGATTTATCTTCATACATTTGCATCAAATTGCCAGTTTTAGGGAGCCCTGTGGCCTCAGATTATTTACTCTGTCAGATAATGCAGTGCACTTAACTTTGTCCCTGTTTATGTGTCTCTCTGCCTGGCCATCATCTGTCTATGTCTCTAAACCAGTGTTGCGTTAGTCTGCTCCCAGTCAGACAGAAAAAACACTCACACTAGCTCAACCTCTGCCTGGCAGAAAGGAATCTTCTCTGAAAACACAGTAATTGTGCCAAAAGTCCCAGAGCCAGTGTGCCAGGTCTTTACACATGACAGCACATGTAAACCATTCTGGGTTATTACGACAGTGATGAGAAAACTTTTTACTGGACTTAAGACAGTGAAAATCATTGTGAAAAACATGGCATATGGATTTGTGGAAGATGCATTTTCCACTGGTGTAAGGGGAAAAATGTTGTATGTAATGATATATAAACAGGAATGTTCATTAATCGATTGTTGGTGTTTTTTCAACTGAAAAACTTATAGTGGAGTATTTTGACTTTTTAGTCGGGTCCATGTCCCATTCACCAACATGGAAGAGGTGGGATATATGACCTATACTACAGTAAGCCACCAGGTGGGAATCAAGATGCTTTGGCTTCACTTTTAAGGAGCAGTCATGTCGTCCATCTTCATAAACAGTTCATGGATATAGTTAGATGCTTAGATTATTCTGTGGTCATATTGAAAATGCTGTATTGATAAAAACAGCTTTATCAAGAGTTTATATGTGTTTTTATAACAGTATCAACAAATAGGAACAAATCAAACATACAATAGAATGCATATCTTTTGATTGTTAAAATGTTTATCCACCTTATCATGGCTTAAACAGACGAATGACCATTTGTCCAGTCGAGACATGTGAAAGTGAACATGTCAGCGTTCTCTAGCAGTAAAATCCTGAACACCATCTGCACAAGCACACAATGATTTTATGGCCTGATGTTTGTAGTCTGAGACGTCCAGCACGACAACTACCCTAATTTCTATGAATTACTTTCATTGCAACGTTCTGCAAAGCCTTACACATCTTTCTGCAATCTTCTCACACACACACACACACACCCTTTCATAGGTACTGATACCTGATATGTGCATTGCGCCACACACACCCCAGTGCCCTGAGGCAGGCTACACTTCGTCTTGCATCATGACGACAGCACATGGGCTCTGGTTGATTCACCTCCCATATTAGAAGAAAGAATATGTTCCCTGGTGTTTCTGCTTTTTTTGGATGCAATAAAAAAAAATCCAAACCAAAAGTTAAATATCTCGTTTTCGACTGAGCACAAGGGCATAACTTTGTGTTTGAACATTGGAGGGGGTGAGGAAATGGCATGGTTGAATACTTCTGTAATTTCTAAATTATAATTTCTTACCAATGAATAATCGCTTGATATGCCTTTATAATCATCATTAACAAGTCAAACATGCTAGATAATACCAACTAGCTGGTAGCCAAAGTAGCTAGAATACAATTGAGTTGGAATAAGTTATTATTATGTTTGTGCAGCAAATTACACTGAATCAAGAAAACCAACCACATTTGTCAGTAGCTGTTTAAGACACAAACTCGGGAGAATGTCCACACAGCTGGGTGCATTCTCTGGAGTTTGCCTTTAAAAAATGCAACAGGAGATTCTCCACAGAAGCATTCACAACAACACCCAAATCTCTGGAGATTATCCGGAGTTAAGTGCACGGATGTGGATGTGTAATATTTCCATGCATGTAAGAGGATTACAGGTGTTGTAAAAACTATGGTACCACATACAGCTGAGATGATAAGAGTCAGCAGTGACTCTGCCCAGTGAACACATCATGTATGTTGTTAATGGTTTGATTCAAAAGCCTGGGATCGACACATGTCCCACAATCCTTCAGGGTTTAGAAAGAAAGAGTTCAGAAAACTGTCTTCTGATAAAAACAAACTTACCCTGGATGTTATCAACCTCTGTGGCAACAGCAACAAGTTGGCCTCGCAGCCATGACAGAGACTCGTGCTCCTCTCTCCTCCACTCACACTCTCACACACACACACACACACACACACCAGTCCAGAACCGCGAGGAGTCGAACAACACTGAAGCACTCTCACGTGAACGCGGTTTGATATCACGAACACGAGTGTGTGAGTTATTTTAAAAAGTCCCGGAACTATTCTACCTGCTGTGATGCGGCTCCGGTGGCTGCAAGCGCTCTCCTCCC